ATCCTCTGGTTGGTGGTGACAAAAGCAGCTTATTTTGGCCATAGAATTAGCCAAGTCAGCAGCTAAACACCTCTTTGGAAAATTGAGAAGGTTTCAGTAAACCCCTGTGGATAGCAATGAATCAAGGCCTTTCTTAGAGGATTGTCTTCTGGAGAGAAACCAAGGAGGGATCGCTAACTCAGTTAGGATCTTTTGCTGCTATTTTGGATTTGGTTTTTCTCGTCATTTCTTTCATAATTTTAAAAGCACAAATCCCAGATGACAACATTATTTTGAAGTGAAACAAAAGTGAAATTGTACTGGGATCTGGTGGATATATAAAGAAAAAGGCATCTCCTGATCGTGCAACTGAAAGTTGCTGATGGTTTGTGCCATCTATCAGAATAAATACCAACTAATTGATTTGTAATTATTCCAGAATTTGGCCAAATACCCTTTCTTGATTAATCAAGAAAAGCTAACCATGTTCGGGCTGTTGGCCCTCATCAGCTGAACCTCAATAACCAAAAAAGCTGGTCTTTGGGAATCCTGAAAAATCATGAAATGGATATTTTAAGATCTACAGTTTTCTCCCATAAATTCCTTCTTAGAGCAACCATGTATAACTCTGCCTCTTGGGAGTCGAGAACTCCTTAAGAGAGAGCGCATATATAATAAATAAATAAATTGAAAAGTAAAACAAGGTAATAAGACCAAATCCAAATAAATAAATAGTGTGTGATGTTTCGGTAACAGCGTTGTTACCATCTTCAAACAAAATTCAGTACTTTTGTCTGAAGATGGTAACAACGCTGTTACCGAAACGTCACACACTATTTATTTATTTGGTCTTATTACCTTGTTTTATAATATTTAATCCAAATTGTGCCTTATCAAATTGAAAAGTAATATTATTTTAAAGCAATGAAGAGAGAATATAAAACATGATTTTATGAAATGACAATGAGGTTTATTTATTTAAAACGTGTTTGCTAATAGCATATCACAGAATATCAAAAATTTACATTCAACATTTTCTAATATACAATATTTCTTCTTTCAAATTTAATGGTTGCACATGAAAGGACAAAACATGGATTATTAGTGGATGTGAGAAATTCCAGATTTCACTGAAAAGTCATGGCAGGTTCTACTACTGTGGTTTTCACAGCTCTGCCAACATGGTCAAAACTATGGCAAGAAGATTATTTAGACCTGCACTAAGAGGATGGTACATATTATTTTACTTATTCCGAAATGGTATATGATAGTCATAGAAGGTAGAACCTTGTAACCCAGAGCTCAATATAGTTACATACACCCAACATAGGTGCCCAATATAAGTTTATATTTTAAAAAGCTGCATCTATAATACTACTAAAAACACATTTTGGTTGGTATAAGCATATACACTTATGAACAAAACTTAAGGAAGCTGTACCTTTTACCATGTATATCAGTATTCAGACAATAACTCTGAAAGATATTTGATACACTGTGATCTTTATTGAACACAAGTGTGTACAAAATTGCCTCTGTCTTCTTCAGAAAAACAAGATGACTAGTGACATCAAAGACTCACTTCCGCAAGTTTTACCATGAATGTATGCCACTTGATCATCCCATACATGAGCCTACTGTCATATCTAGAGAGAGGTTGCAACAACTCACCTTTCCCAATCTAACCATTCTTTGGGCTTCTCCCACTGAGAGACTTCACTTCTACAGTTGTAGTAATAGCGCTTGCCGGAGGAACTCATGTGTTCCGACCAGTCGCCCACCTGCAGCCTCTTCTCCTTCTCCTGCAGCAGCAACTGGTGGTCATTCTACATCAATGGGTGGATGATTACAGCAACTGGAGGGTGATTCTATGATGATTAGGTACAATTTGGATTGTAGATTAGAAGCATAAGGTATCAAGACCTTAACTCCGCCTTTGCCGGTCCCGAACCCAGATGAAAAAGGAGGAGGGGGAGCAGTAACAAGCTCACTAAAAAACCTGGGTTCAGCTGGCCCAGCTGATAGTACCCTGTAAGGGATACGGGGTGAGCAGTGTTTGTACTCCATGTTAGGAGTGGCTGCACATGGCATCTGTTCTTCATGTCAGAGGCGGCCATTTCTTTTGGAGCTAAGTCGGCCTGCCACTGAGTAGTGCTCCCAGTCTTAATGACAAAGGCAGACGCATTCTACTTCACCCAGTCATGAAGGTTGCCAAACAGACACCATCAAGGGTCACAACTTGATACCCTAATATGATTGAGTGGAGATAGGAAAAAAGAAGAGGTATCAAGACCAAAACCAAATAAATAGTCTGTGATATTTCAGTAATGATGCAAGATCACATACAATTTATATTTGGTCTTATTACCTTGTGTTCCTTCATTCTACAATGGGTGGACAATTATACTCCTTGTTTACTGACTACATTTCCATAGGGGGTAAATGATAACAATGACTAGCAGCAGCTTACTACAACTGTTTGGTGTATAGAGAGGGAGGGGGGAGAGTTCAGTGACATTTCAGACACTTCACAGAAACATCCTCTTCCTAAAAAAGTAATAACACCAAGTAAATGGTGTGATGTTTCGGTAACACAGCATTGTTACCATCATCAAACAAAATAACTGAATGAGAAAAAAATATCACAGCATACTTTTATATTCTGAACTAATGGTTTCAGGGTTTTCCCACTATGTACTAAGTGCAATTCTCAGCCTGCAACCCCAAGACACATCATTGACTGTATTGACTCATCCATTGATGAGCTCTACTCTTCCCTGGCAGACACCATCAAAAGTCTCAAGCTTTACAAGCTTGATATTTTAGTGTGATTGAGTAGAGATAAGGAAGAAGAAGATATTCTGAACTATATTCATCCCAAATTGTGCCTTATCATCCTTTACTCAAAAATGGACTAAGAGAAGTATGCAGTTCTAACATCATCAAAGTTGTTTCAACTGTGGGTAAAATCTTGGTCCCAGGTGGAATGGACTGTATGCTAGTCATCTCCCTCATCTCTCCAGTTAAATGGTTTATTTCATTCTGTTTGTTAAGGCTTCTACCATTTTTTTTTTTGCTCATCCCTAGTACACGTGGTACAGGTCATGATAATCATGGTGGGTAGAAGAAGGTGACTGCTTTTACTGTAAGTGTACCACAAGTCTATACACGTGAAAAGCAGTTTGACTTTGCACTTACAAATGTGCCAGAGCCCCTTGCACTCGCTGGTGGGGTTGGACTTATGCGGCTTCTACCATTCTGCTTGTTGACTGAGTGTCTACAGAATTCAGGGCACAGGATATCCTCAACTAAATAAATCTCCCTGTACCACCACAATGCCAGATAGTTGGTGATTTACTTCTATATGCTGTGGGCAGGTTGTACTTGAGTTAAATAAGGCAGCATAACACAAGACACATCCAGCACTTGTTGGTAAGTAAAATGGATCAACAGGGAAAAACCATGTCTTTTTTTTTTTTGCTTATCCCTAGTACACGTGGTACAGGCCATGATAATCAAGGAGGGTAGTTAGCGGCTGCTTTTACTGTAAGCGCACCACATGTCTATACATGTGAAAAGCAGTTCGACTTTGCACTTACAAATATGCCAGAGCCCCGTTTGGTTACTTGCACTCGCTGGTGGGGTTGGACTTTTGCAAGAATCGGGGGCCATTGGAGCATTTTTTTTTTTTTTTTTTAAATAGAAAAAGTGTCCAATGCAGTAATCAAACCCGGGTCCTAGTGGTCGAAAACCAAACGGTCTAACCAGCCTTCCACCGACCCCCCGAAAACCATGTCTAAATTACTAAACTACATTGCTATCACCTACCAAACTAAATTACATATAGGGTCTATAATCCAAAAACCACTTGGCTACCATATATTGACACACAAAGCTGCTAAGTACTAGGTAAAGTGCAGCCACTGAGAATTAACTAGGTAGGACAAAATATCAGATCACATGGGGGCCTGACTTTAAACTTATAAGCTACAAAATTTCTGAGACAGAACAATAATAATCGGCAGCCTAGCAACAAAATAAAATGTTTAAGATAATGGAAAAAAATTGATTTAATTAATAATTTTCAAATCAAAATATATTTTTAGGTTTACCCAGGTTTAGTATGATTTAAGAATGGTGATGAGGAGGGCTACCCTAGGATATGAAGTAAAGTGGTAGCCACGTTACAAAGCCAACACTCATATTGAGCCAAGGAATAACAACCCTACACTGCTGCTGTGTAGAAATTCAATATGTCACACACAGCTGGCCAATATAGGAATCATCTTTAAGCAACAAAATAACAAACTCCCTGTCTCGAATTGGGCAAAAGGAGAAAGAAACGTACATTACCACCAGGGTGTGGTAATGCTGCCACTATGTTGCCAGTACGTCCACACAGGGATTTACCAACAGACCTTCTCTTCAATCACAGCCAGTGCTGATAGCTAATTATGGACACAGTACTTATACCGATAATATTAAAAATAAACCTATATTTGCATATTCTTTCAGATGTAGATTTTGCATATCTACAAGAAAATAAGACGATAAAGCACAATTTGGATTATAGATTATAATAAAAGAAAATAAGACCTAATCCAAAAATGTTATTAGTGTGTGACGTTTCGGCAACAACATTGTCACCATCATCAGACCTATATTTTCCATATTTTCTTTTAAGAAAATAAGACCTAATCCAAATAATATTAATAATGTGCAACATACACTACTAATTTATTTGGATTAGGTCTTATTTTCTTGAAGCTATATTCTTTTGCATATCAAGTTTTGCCTCTCAGTTTTAAAATTGTCACTGCACTGCTTCTGGTAGAAGATTAATATATTGGTAATTGATAATACAATATAACGCGACTAATAATTGTAAAACGGCATTTGAAATTTATCTCGGATGTGTTTCTTTTGAATGAAAAATCAAAATTTATTTTTGAGGAGAAATAACGATTATTTCTAACCTCAGGGATGAAGTATGAAAAGTAATGATAAACGGAAAAATAAGTGTTCAGGGATGGGAATCAAACCCACAGTGTTCCGCTTACTGGGCAGATGCCATGTCCACTAGGCTACCCTGGACATATTTTTCCATTCGTAAATATTATATAAAGTAATTTATAATACAATATAACACTGATTATGATTGTAAAATGGCATTTGAAATTTATCCCGCATATATTTCTTTTGAATGAAAAATCAAAATTTATTTTTGAGGAGAAATAACGAATATTTCTAACCTCAGGGATGAAGTATGAAAAGATGAATTGTGAAGAGTAATGATAAACGGAAAATTGGTAATGCCATATGGAAGATATACATTGTGACACCATTCCTCTTTTTTTTTTTTTTTAATTCCTAGGCCATCAGACAATGAACAAGTTAGCAAAACTGAAAACAATGTGATTTACATAATACAGTATAACCTCGTTAATTCGACACACCCCAATTCGACACTCGGCGATAATTTGACCATGTTCCGATGTCCCGACCTCCGGCCTATCAAATAACAAACCGTAATTCGACAGTATCGATAATACGACAGTTCCGATAGTTCGACCATTTTAAAATTCGAATTTCGACAGTTTAATGTTATTTTACATGCAACTTTACCGCTAAACGGTATTACGGCGGCGACGATCGGCATCGGCGGGCGGCGAGATCGGCATCGGCGGGCGCCGATACAATCGCTCCTGCGCACTTTTGGTTTCTGGTTAGTTTAAGTTTTACTTTGCAGTGCCGTTGCGCAATTTCGCGGATGTTATTGTTGTTTTTTTACGCAGGAATTTCGGCATCATGCGCTAACTAATAATAATTTTTATTTTTTTATTTTTAACATTGAAATATTTTAGCTATTTTTAAATTTATAAAATATTTCTTTTTAAATAAATAAATCTTTATAAAATGATCCAACAATGATTATGATAACATTTTATTTCAATATTCCATTTCTGTGTTATTATAAAAGATTTAAACACAAAATCAATAACACCTGCAGCAGCAGTGGATGCCTTTAATACATTAAAATTTATTTATTAAAAGACATTTCAGAGGAAGAAAGGCATGCATGTTTTTTCAAAATGCCATCTGGAATACATCCTGAATAGGATTTCAGTGCAAAAACAGATATCTATAAAGGAATTTTTTAAAAGATCTCTTCATGATTATTTTAAAATAATATTTTAAAATTTTCTTTTTATATATTTACCATATTTATTTCCTTTCAACTGCTATATTTTTCAATTAGAATAAAATATTATTTAATATATTATATTTAATATTTTAATGTCTGTAGAGTTAATATTTGATTATATTACTGAAAAGAAACACATTGCCAATAAATTTATTTGTTACAATTATTTATGTTTCTAAAATATGTGTATTAATGCCATTTTGTCACTCATACTAAAAGTTAATCATGAAAATAATATAAAAAAAACACACAATGGTTTCAATTAATATCATTAATTTATATTACAAAGCTATTTTTAAAAAATATTATTTTAGCGAGTTAGATGATTACCTAATCATATAACCTTAATTCAACACTTCCTTTAATTCAACCGAAAGCTCTGATCCCTTGGGGTGTTGAATTAAAGAGGTTCGACTGTAATATGCAGTCCAGCCAGTTATATAGGAGAAACGCGGGAAAGTCTCTGAAAGATCAGTCAACACAAATCAGGATTATAGAATTACAACCCATTTTTACTCCTTGTAGACCATACATTGAAACATATCCACACACCTATCTAATTAAACAGCTATTTTATACCAGAATATAAAGAAAACACATTGCAGGTTATTTTTGGAAAGTTGACCTCTGCAAAAAACAAAAAAGCATACATATGAAAATTGATAATAAAGTAGAACAACCTCCCTGTAAAGAACAACACCTAATTGCAGAGCCAAAGTGTCCTTTAGGGAGAGATGTCCTCTTACTGGAGAGTTACTAAATAGTAAAAATGGTAATTTAGGAAATGAAAACTGTCCTTTATAGAGAGGTGTCCTTTCATGGAGGTTCTAATGTACTATAGAAGAGATATACGTGGTGTTGCTGGAGACCCACTGGTGATTCTCCACCAAACTCTGCAGCGCTGGTAGAGGCGCCATATTCATTGTACATAGTGTATATAATCCATATTATCTTTTTTTAAATAGTGCAGACTGTGTATGTGTTGACAAGATGACAATAAAATTATTTTTATTTTATATAGAAGAGATATAGGCATAATTTAAATCTTTATAAAAAAAGAGTTTACAATTACCTTTCATTTTAAAAGTTTCCTATATTTTTATACAAAGGGTGAGATGCCATATATATGCTCTCCTTTCTCACAATGTCATATTGAAAATAAAAGGTAACAAAACCAAATTATTAAAAGGTAAAAGACATTATTGTCACACCTTTATTACAGAATTTTTATTGTCGTAATTACTTTATATAACATTACATGCATCATTTTCCTCCCGTAGGGATCTAAGCAGAACTTTCCTCAACCCCAACATTCACATAATAAAAGTATATTTTAATTGATAATGTGAGTATTTTTTGATACCATTTTGACACTTTTAATTTTTTTTTTCGGAATGTTTCATGATTACCTTTAAGTGATGGATAAAATTGAATTAATAAATTTGTGAACAAGGAAAAATTACAAATACAGTCGAACCTCTTTAATTCAACACCCCAAGGGAACAGAGCTTTCGGTTGAATTAAAGGAAGTGTTGAATTAAGGTTAGATGATTAGCTAATCATCTAACTCACTAAAATAATATTTTTTAAAAATTGCTTTGCAATATAAATTAATGATATTAATTGAAACCATTGTTATGCACTTTTTTGTATTTATTTTTTTTTATTTTCATGATTAACTTATAGTATAAAGGACAAAATGGCAATAATATATATTTTTGAAACGTAAATAATTACAAATAATATTTTATTTTAATTGAAGAATATAGCAGTTGAAAGGAAATAAATATGGAAAATAAAAAGGAAATTTAAAAATAATATTTAAAAATAATCATGAGATCTTTTTAAAAATTCCTTTATAGATGTCATTTTTGCACTGAAATCCTATTCAGGATGTATTCCAGATAGTCTATTTTAAAAAAACATGCAAGTATTTTTTCCTCTGAAATGTCTTTTAAATAACAAAGAGCTTTTATTGTATTAAAGGCATTCCACTGCTGCTGCAGGTGTTATTGATTTTGTGTTTAAATCTTTTATAAAAACACGGAAATGGAATATTGAAATAAAATGTTATCATAATCATTGTGGCAACATTTTATGAAGATTTATTTATTTAAAAGGAAATTATTTGTAAATTTTAAAATAACTAAAATATTTCAATGCTGAAAATTAAAAAGAAAATAATATTATTAATTAGCGCACGGTGCCTAAATTCCTGCGTAAAAAACAATAACACTCGCAAAATTGCGCAATGGCACTTTAAACTGACACTTTAAGTGAAACTAACAGAAACCAAAAGTGCGCAGGCACGATCCTATTGGCGTCCGCCGATTGCCACCGCTGTAATACCTTTTTAGCGGTAAAGTTGTAAGTAAAAAAACATTCATCTGTCGAAATTCGCATTTTAAAATTGTCGAACTATCGGCACTGTCGTATTATCGATACTGTCGAATTACGGTTTGTTATTTGATAGGCCGGAGGTCGGGACATCAGAATATGGTCGAATTAAGGTAGAGTGTCGAATTTGTGTATGTCGAATTAACGAGAGGTTATACTGTATTATTTTAATCCAAGTGAATAAATGCAATGGGAAGAAAAACCAAATAAATTTAGAATATCAAGGCAAAGCAGAGAAGGCTTCCATGCCTATACCACCATAACAAGGTCTACCTGAGGAATACTCTGGAAGAGATGAAGCTGCTGAGGAAGAAGGCAGCAAAGACACATTCCCCTCATTGACATTTTTTGTCGTAATAGTAGCCCCTACAATTGGTCCAACCCCTCCTCTACGTGGCGAGAAGCAGCACAAGTAAGGGACTGCCCATCCTGTAGGGCAAAGTACGGTGTCATGAGCCCCGAGCCGCTACGGTTACCCTGAAGGCCTACATGGAACTCTGAAATGTGGCTGACTAACAAGGCAATGGCACCCCTCTTTCCATGGAGCAACAATCCATACGAACAAGGCACCTCAGTTGGCTGGTATTGTGATCCGGGTGCACAGACCGATCTGATCTGCTCCATGGACAAGAAACCACCACCACCTACAATTTATCACCTCACATTTTTGCAGTGGCTTACATAGATGTGGCTTGTGAATAGGACTTTTTCATTGGGCCAACTAAATTTACCTGGCTACTGTTTAGTTATTCTAAATATGGCACATTACATGAGCTATAATTTGACAATATAAAAACTCACGACTCCTGTTAGAGATCATCTGAATTATATCAGAGGGAGAATAAGTAGCAACAACAGTTTGTTGGAATTCAGTCAAAAGAATGGCAGAGAAAATATCAAATTTCTGTGGCACTTTTATGTTTGGGCTATCTGTAACACACAGTTAAACCTGTCTATAGCGCCCCCTCTAAATAGCGCCCGATTTTAAATACGTAGTACGATGCGATTTACATTAAAAGTGACCTGTCTATAGCACCCTATTTTGGTGAGTCCCAAGAGGGGGCGCTATAGACAGGTTTAACTGTATATAGTGACTCATTTTTTCAAATCCGTGCTATACACCTTAGAAGGATTTCTCTCACACCACCGAGGCATTGATAAGAGGAATATTGTAACTCCGAGATATTGACTAGTTGTCATATACGGTAAAACCCTGCTAATACGAACCCCGGATATAGCAAACCTTCCTTTATACCGAACCTAAGGCGATTCCCCATTCCATTCCATTGAAAATACCATCGTTATAACGAACTTTGTGATTTTTTTAAATAACAAACTACCTCTATAACGAACCTATTTTAGGTCCCAAAATAATAAAATCTACTTAAAATACTAGGCTAAAATGAACTTAAAATTGTAATTTAAAAATTTTAAAACAACAAAATTTTGAGCACATTCCATTTCATGGATCGCAATTTCAAAACAATAAATT